AGGAGTGGCTATGAAAGTTGTACTAACTGATGATTCTATAGCGGCAAATAAATTCCCAAACTCAATAGCTCTGTATGTCTTCGACATTGCATGCTGACCACATTCGTTTTAATGGACTCACCTAGCTGAAGGCGCTCGGTCACGCATCCGCACCAGACCACGAGTGGGTACGCTGTGCTACTCATTCTTTTCAACTACTAGCCAGCTTAGACCAGACATTACTTCAACATACCGATAACCTTCCAAACATATCTTCGAACTCCTTCATTCATGACTTTTGATTTGAGTGGGTTGGCATACTTCGATTCTAAGGGTGTTATTAGTTAAGGCGTTGTCAAACTCCGGATACTTGTGGCATCGTTAGTGGTCGGCCCGATGCGATCTGGTACACTAACTCGTAGAGTGTCTGTTCCTTGTTGGGACACTACATATCACTTTTACACTTGAATTTCTACATACTGGGATATTTTTTTCTCGTTCATTAGTATTTTTAATATTCGTCATGGTGGAACACACTCCTAAGTTATTTAAGATTAGAACCCTTTCGCCTCCCTCATTTCCATTAAAGCCAGTTGGCCCGACAGTATCGAAGCCTGGGTCTGCCACGCAGCAGCTGACTTCCACGAGCGTCTTTTAAGGTAGCTGTCCAACTGGAGACTATGAGCAACTAAATGCGAAAACCAATACTGACGATCCGTCGATTCTAGATTCAAGTACAAAATGAATGAGTGCATATTTATCCTAATCTAGATCTATTGCTTTATTCTAATTTTTAAATACCATATCCTTAATATTGCCTTTCTCATTATCATTACTACTGCATTATTTGAACTCTCTTTTCATCTTGCTATGGCGATTTGAGCTACAAACATTTGTACCAGACTCCACGTTGGTTATGACTGTAACTTACAATTAAACCGAATAGAAGTCGGATAGATTTATATTTTTTTACCTCAAGTTAAATTGAGTGTGCAATACTTCCACGTGTCAGATAAAAATAAAAACTAATTAAAAGTCAGGCAAGCCACTGTGATAATTAGGAGTATTCAACCTGATTTAATAAATAAGAATTCCTGAAGTAGTTCAATTTAAAGCAGGCAGATCTAGTTGAGCAAAACTGGATGTATTAGATTTGGGATTCGTAATATGCACACAATCAAGGATAAAAGAGTCATCAGTTAGTACAACTTTCATAGCCACTCCTCTGGTTTGAGACTTAGTGCTGACTTAACACTAACAAAATGAGAACTACAAGTACCTGACCAGTGTATATCTTCATAACGTAGCTTGCATTTACCCAAACAACTAATAAAGCGGAAATAAAAGGCGAACATGCGTTGGAAAATAAAAGGGAAACGCGCCAAAAATGTCTGCTTTTTTGCCTGTCCAGGGGAAATAATGCGGGTTCCACCCTTTTTGTCGCTGTTTCTCGAATGTCGCCGAACTGTCTACTTTTCGCCTAAATATACGCTGGATTGTCTACTTTTGCATAACACCAAAGGTCACCTGTGTTCGCCTTTATTCCCATAACACACCACACTGAAACTGCAATCCACGTGAAAAATGGTATATGTTCAAATAAATTTATTGAAATGGGAAAGCGTATCATTACACAACATTATGGCAGAAGCCTGAGTATCAATCGTTATGCATTTTCATTGTAATTGCCAATTCATTGTTATTTGGAAAGATCTCCAAAAAAAGAAACAGGTGATGTATTATTAATAAAGCATGTGTATTTAATCGCAACTTCACTGACAATCAAGCACACTTTATCAACACTTCAATAGTTTCCCATGTAAGTAATAAAGTAAGCTCATTTGCAAAATAATGTTTGTTAAAAAAATAAGTAGAACGTAAAATACATTTCACGGATTACTTCCTTTAGCCACGTATGTTCTACTATTGAGAATGAAAATAATCTTCCTGTGAACTCTGAAGTGTAAAGAACAAAAGAAGTTACAAAGATATCTAGATGACATGCTTTGGCACAGCCAGATACTTGAAGCTTCACTTACGGTTATGTTCGTTAATACTGTTGACTATAACTATAGAGCAATAGGCAAGTTATCACTTTAAATTAGTGCATACCTGCTCTTAAGAGCAGGTATGCACTAACAATTGTTTGCTCCTATTGCGCTTTATCAATTTGTCTCTGACATCGTGAAAATAACCTTGTGTCGCCATGCCGTACAGCTTCGAAACGTCTTTTTCATTGACAGAGGATGACAAAAAGCGATTTGTTAATGCACCTGAAGTTTAAATAATAGACATAGATTACTTCATAGGCAGCCGTAAAACCGGCATTTCTGAAGTGCTCGTTTTGAAGAAATGCCAAGTAGAGTGAAATTACTGGCCACCTCAGGTGTCATGAGGTACGACAAAATATATCGCATTGAGGTTTAAGGATCATTAATGATCCATTAACCTCGTTACCATTGCCATCTGTAATACGAACAAATTATTCAATTAATGTTGTTAACTTACAAATCTGTCCCTGATTTCTTTCTGCTGCAATCCATAGCCAGCATCTGCAGTTCCTCTTCAGATGACAAAGGGAACTGCTGACTTGATAGTCCGCTATCGGATTGATGCGGATGTTCGCGTTCAATGAACTGGCGAGACTCTAACTTAGGGACGACCTTTGAACGAATCTTAAATGACCTTGACAATTATTAGCCAATCAGAAGACAGTTAGGACAAAGTGAAAATATATTATAAATAAGTAATGAATTATAGTGGATATTCTTCTTTTTCATGATTTAAAAACTTGGCGAGACTATAATTTGTGGACGACTTTTGAACGATTCTTGAGTTGCCTTGATAAATATTAGTCAATCAGCAAGCAACTTATGGACGAGTCAATCAAAAGCGTCTTAGATATTTCAAGGTCACGGCGCCAACTTCAGTGCATAATGCTAACGTGCGATCGATTCACAGGGGATTTTGTACAAAACGTGATAGTTGAGCGTCTATAACAAATAAAACGGTGAGACCATAACTTGTGGACGAATCAAGCAGGTATAAGATAACGGATCTCAGATTTTGGCTCGAAAGCTTTTTATCTATTTGGCTAAGTATATTTCTGGCATTATATAATGCCATAGCGCTATAATGCCAGAAATATACTCAGCGCTGATATCAGTTCGTGATGAAAACCCTATATATAATTCCTAACTAAAGCAAATCATGATAATTATTGAGAACTGGATAATAAAATCACCAGTAACACTGGCTGCAGCCAGGTACTACAATATATACGGATCCAATCATCGATGATTGGAGAGCGTACGGACTCCTGCATGGGCTTGGTTTTGTACATCGTGTCGTTATCCGCTATTGGTATTTTGCGGACTAGACAACTGGAGTGCACACAAATATTATTGAAACTATGTGGTCGAGGCTGAAAAGTTTTTGAAACTTTATCATGGCTCCAGATGCCGACTGTTCTCTAGCTATATGGATGACTTCCTCTACTTCATGCATTACGATTTTAGAACCTCTGAACCTTTTTCTAGCCTTGACAAGTTTTTTGAACCATGTATAAGAAATGTATCCATATTATTTCTTTGGTTTTGCATAATATATTATTAGTCTACTGACTGTTTGCTGATTGGCTAACACTTATCAAGTCCACCTAAGATTCGTTCAAAGGTCGTCCATAAATTATAGTATCGCCGAGAGACTCAACGGCTTTACTCAGATCTATGAGAGTTACATTCACCGGAATATTTCTGTCTTTCGCTGCAGCCCAATCTTCTCCCTCATGATAGACCTTTCTTAAAATCATGTTTTTCCTTGCTTAAAAAATTCCGGGTTATTTCAGATGAATTTTCGGGAAAGAATTTGATCATTCTTAGGAAAAATCGCTGACTTGAGTAAATTATAAATTGGGTTACATTCACTTATACTGATCAGTAAATAAATGTTCTTTGAACCCATATCAAGCTTCTCGCTTGCATCGAGTATGTTGAAACTAATTAGATGTAGCGTCTCAACATTGAAATATATGAGCATCTCGTCGGGACTAAGTTTTCTTCACATATGTACGCAAACCCCTCATTAATTATCTTTTAGATGATGGTTGACGACAATTAATTTTTTCTGTCATCTTCGATGTTGACGTTTCTCCGATCTTCCTATGCAAACATTATTGACCACTACTTATGTAAAAATTAATAATAAATCGTTCTCATTCAAACCACTATTTTGTTTCATGTTTTGTACTCAGATAATTTGATTGACTTGGGGAATTAAAGGCGAACTTCCTAAGTATACAGTATACTCGTCCGTTGAGTCTTGAGAAGAATGTACTATTTTGCTTGTTACTACTGCAGAAAAGTTTTTCTTGACATTTTTGTGGTAGTAACAAATTTAAACAACCTGACAGCCTTTTCGTAATCGCATTAGCCAGTGAGTGACCTACAAAATTCATATCCTTCAATCTCTATGGTGTATAACTATGTTTATTTTATATCTTACTGTTTCTATTTGAATATTTCATTGTACTAAAGAGAAACCTAATCTTCTTACTGTCTTGTTTTTAACCTTAGTCCAATCCGAAATTTGCACCAATTGTCCTTTCTTATAAACATTTGTCATATATCGTATAACTGTGTATCACCTATCGATAAGCATTCTATTTAATTGATTTAAATAGTCCTCAGGCTATGCATCATTCGTTAAATCATAATCCATGATACAAACTGGAGTTTATCCAGTCGAAATAATGTATGACTGTTTCATATTTATGAATGATTGTTTTAACCGTATTCATGATAAACATTCACCTCAATTTTCGTAATGATCTGGAAAAATTCGGTTATGTTCTTGTAAATACTTGTTTTTCTTGTCACAATTTCCCAATTCTTTATTGAATCAAAATAAATCCTATTGTATAGATATCTATTCTGAAGTTTATCACTAACTTCAAATGTTTTTATTAACTCTTAATCCTTACAGTTTTGTTTCTCAACAAGTTACCATTTCCTCAGCACAATATGTTAAATATTGTGGGCCATTTACCTCAAAAGTACAGTGACAATATTCTTGTTACTCATAATAATCATGATATGGTATATGAAGTTAGAGGATTTCAATTGCATTCACTTCATTTACCATCAATGCAAACAAATAATGACAGCAAAAAGATACCTATAGAAACAAATCTTGTGGATATCGACTATTCACCTGGAATATCTTCGTTACTATGTTGTTCTGATAAAGGAGATGTCCAGATATGGGATATAAGAGATAACATTCCACAGGTACGTGATGTGTTTCCTATTCAATTGTAAAGATGTCCTCAGAATTCAACATCTGAATTGTGTATTTTTCAAAAGGACAAAATAGGTTACAACCTCAAGTCCACAAATTACTGTTACTGGGTCATTGATACAAGACTTCAGTCTTAGGAATAGTATATCTCCAACCACTAATTCTGGCTAATATATAAACCTGTACTTTATTATAAAGTATTATTATAATAGGTTTGCGAAGGATAATTAAAATTCGTCACTTACTTAAAACAAAAATTTAGGACAATATGCCTACCAAGTTACATATAACCTTACTTTCGTACATGCGTCTGTTACTCCTCGTGCGGCACAAGCCGCCGGTCAGGGACATTCAACCTACTCGATCTTGTGTTCTTTCCAGTTGTTGCCGAATGCTATTTTTTATTTTGATATCTGCCTACAGCTTCTGGCGCAATGTGTTGATTGGTCTGCCTCTATTCCTTTTGCCTTTGATGACTCCAAGTTAGGGCTTGCTCGTGATGCACTGATGATTTCCTCAACGAATATCCTACCCACTTCCAGTATCCTTCGTAACTTCCTCTTCAGCCGGCATCTGGTTTGTTCTCTGCCGTAGTAGATTGATGCTGATGGTATCCGGCCAACGGATATAAGATGTCTTGTGTGGAAAACTGTTTATGAGTATCCATACGTTTTTAATGATGGATGTAGTAGTTCTTAAAATTTCACTTCTGTACAATAGGACTTTCTTGACGTTCATATTGAAGATTCTGACTTTGATGTTGGCCGACAGTTGTTTTGAGTTCCATATATTCTTCGATAGTAGGAATCCTGTCGTTAGTTTGCCAATCCTTGCCTTCACACCTGCATCGGATCCTTCTTGTTCATCGACGATGCTACCCAGTTGCATAAAACTTTCCGCGTCTTCCAGAGCTCCTTCATAATGTAATTGGGTTGGTTCTCACTACGTTATACTTCAGGATTTTGTTTTTCACTTGTAAATGTGTATGAAATAGAGGGGCTATATCATTTGCGAACCCTAAATCATCCAACTTCACCCAAGGTTTTCACTTGTCCCCAAATGCCCTGGTATGGCTGAGAGTGGGGTGGGCCCGCCCTCCCTCTCGAAATGCTCTCACACGACCACGCGTATACAGCCCCTGCCAGGGAAGTCCTACTCACTGCCTTCTCGTGGCATTACTGTTGTTTACGAAATCGAGAGGACGAAAAGCGAATGTCCGTCGCTCTAACCGGATCCCAAACCATTGGTGCACATGGGCTCGAGTATCCTGAAGGAAAAAATGGCGTATGAACCAATGGTTGTTCACCGGCTACCACGGAATGGCATTTCCCCACGATGCTCCATTGCCTTGTGGATCAGACCTTTAGGTCAAAGGCTCTGGATGTGGCCCCCTAAGATAACCACCCGCTTCGGTCTGGGCACCCGGGCAGTATCACAGCCCTCACACATATCAAATGAGATCTGTGTGGCACATATATATTTGGTGCCCTCTTGTACCAATATTTGTGTTCAGATAAACAAATAAGTAAATAAATCAGGATAATCGAGTCCTTTCATAGCCACTTCTCTACAATAGACTTCAGTCTCTCATTAAATTGATCTTTATCGTCTTCATTGCTATCCCTGGTGGGTGCATAGCACTGGATAACATTCATTGTGGTTCCCTTTTTCTTTGTTTTGAAGGATCGTATAAATGGTTTTCGTGCTTCTTTAAACATTATCAGTGCAAGTCGTTGTGTGTGCGAAGCAATTTCTTCTTCATGATCAGAGTACAACATCAACTCTATCGATGGTAATCTTTTCTTTCTAGCTTGTGTCTAATAGGTTACACTTATTCCAAGAAGAGCCAGAGTGTATTTTCTCATTTCCGCGTCTACTTGAATGGTCATTCCATTCCCCTATCTGAAGATTCTTTGCACCTATATTAAATGTTGCTCTGATTTTCAGAAGAGGCATGGTTCTGTGAATTCCAAAAAATCTCGGCTTTCATTACAAGGTATCATAACTTTTGTATATGAAGACCCTTGAGTTCACATGGTAGAGTTTATATAGTTTAATTGATTCTTCCTTGCTAGAATTTTATTTAGCAAGGCCCTCTTTGCGGGATGAGGTTGCTAACCTCGCTTCAAATCCTTCTCTATCTTGATTTGCAACCAGCATTAACCCTTGAAAAGCTTCAGTTGGAGTTATATATATCATAACTTATTTCACATACAGGTTATTCTGAAATGGATATTGTCTAGCAGTGGAATTCAGGATTCATGTTTCATCTTGTCTGGAATGCACGTGGATCGAAGAGCTGAGTTGTCTCGGAGTGAACGCCAGTTCTGCGATGCTGGTACATTCACCTGACGGTTCCCAGATGAGACAAGACGCGCGTCCTGAATTCCACTGCTAGCCATCCATCTCTGTCTAAAAATGCTTGAAACTTAGTGGTAGTATATAGGCAATAATCACAAGATGCACACATACTTAAAGAAAGTGATCGATTGCAGTCCTAATCATACATTAGTGTAAAGATTCAAACAACCAATATATGTAAATTAAAGCTCACTCTGATTATCAAATGTCATTTAGACTTGATAAGTAGATTGTCCGTAATCACTATCAGCTTTACTGTCTTCTGAATAACTTGTTCACCAACGACAGAATTGTCACAAATGAAACTACTATTAGGTCATAGACTTGTAAATACTATCAGTTCTGTTCACTGATATTTATCTTAAAAGTTAAAATTGAACACAGATTACTAAATTATAGTGTTATATCCTAGTGAAGGTTAAATTACGGATAACTTCAGAGAACTATTAATAGTCTAATATTATGTATATATTGCTATTGTTTAACTGTTCAGTGACTAGATTATGTATGTCTATATTCCTTTTATTGTAAGCTTCATTTTGACCTATAGACTATTATTATGCGATTTACTGTTCTTAAGTTATGTTCAGTTTATTAACTACAGTTTCACATGTTCACAGCCACTTTTTGGCTTGATCTTGTATAAATGTTATTTCTTATTTTATGGTGGGATACAGTCTGTGTGGCTGGTATATAAACCAAGTATGTTTGAAATAAATGATTCGCATAGTGGAAGCTGTTGTTGGCGTTCTGGACTCAACTGGACGAGCTAGGTGAACAAAAGACCAATATGGATACTAGGCTGTTCATGCCGGTCGAACGTCATTGTTTTAGCACAGTGCTAAGATTGAATAAGTCGTTTTTCGATTGGCGAATAAATCACGTGATAACTATCCGGGCTTAAAGTCACAACAGTTTATAATTACTGATTGGGGTTTAGCAATCGAACGATACTGTGTTTGTATTCACTAGTCCAAATGGGAGTACGCTATATAGTATACTGGTTGAATGTTAGATGTTCTCAGTCAGTCAGTAAAATACTTTAAACTTGAGTTTCATCACTGTTTTCACTTTTTTGTGCGACATATCTCACAGTGGAGGGAACAGTTCAAATGTATAAGTTCAAACACTGATCAGTTATTCATTTATTGGCTTTTTTAAAGAAATCTAGTTGTAACATGATTTTGTTTTGGTTTAAATAATCTAGTGGTAACATTTCTATTCATGGCAAATAAGAGCATTAATACTTCGACAATTACAGATACGCCCTGTTTATCGAAACTGGACAAGTATAAATGGTGCTTACAGCTTCCCAACCGTTTCTGCTACCTTGAAATGGTGGTAGGGCTTAGACATCGCGATGAACCAGTCGGGCTATACTGGCTGGAACAATCGTTCCCCAATGTTTTACCATTCCAGGCAGGCCGATCGAAGAGCGATAAGACTAAAAGTAGCAAACCCAAGGTCTGAGAGCGAAGTCGTACTGCTGACTGTACGGAGGTGTGACGTGAGTAAGGTGTTTTCTTCAGACAACCAGTATAATAGCGGTGCTGTCTTTCCACAAGGAGGGGTGGGATTAGAAAAAGGTCGATCCTAAAAATGCACACCTCACCTTGTCGTACGGATATCCGTCTCTGGCGGTAAGGTCTCAACAAATACGGAGCCAACACGAAAATTACTCACAAAAAGTTCGTGTGCGACCGACCTCAAGTAGTTGTCCCTTGGGCACTGTGGTCACACTGTCAAGTCAATAAGACCACCCGTAACCCAATTTTTTAGGTGCCTCCAGAAGAACCCTTCCACGGTGTGGGCAACCGAGAAGTGATGACCGCTCTCATACTTTTAACGGCTTATGGTTTCTTGTTACTAGATATTAAAAGTTGCAATTGTCCTGGTGCGATCCTTATAACAACAACTTTCCAATATTTTTATCACTTTGTTATAACTTGTGAAACTGTGTGCCCTGTTATGGTTAACGCAACGATACCGCCAGTCAGAGAGCAGCGAATTATCGATCGAACCAGTGACGCATAAAACAAGTGCGAGCAGCCTAGAGTCCTGATTGGTCTCGCTCCCTGTCTAGCCCAGCCAGTTAAGTCCAGAACACCAATTTCAGCCTCTGCAATATGGATCATTTATTTTCAAACATACGGGGTTTATATACCAATCAAACAGACCACAACGTACCATAAAATAGAAAATAACATTTGTACAATTTTTGGCCAAAAGTGGCTGTGAATGAGGAAGGTAGTGATTAACAGACAGGGAATAATTCAAGAATGGTGAAACGTATAATAATAGTTCATAGGTCAAAATAAAACTCATAATAACAGGGACATGAATATAAACAGTTTAGTTACATAACAATTGTACGATAAGAATATACTCATAGTATTAGTCAATAAATGGATCCCAAGAATTACCATTCATTATTCTTATCGGGATATAACACCTCCCCTTTTTGAAGATCCGGGTTTATCCTCCCCAACGAAACAGTGTTGGATTCTCATATTCCCAAGTTACAATTGATTTGACTTTATTTAAAACGTATTTGTCACATTGAACAGAATTTACTAGAGGTGATTAAATGGTGAAGATCAACGTCGCTTGATTTGAGGTCATCAAAGTTTGATTCTTCTGGAACATTGTCATCAAATTTCTTGAAAATCTCATTAGTAGATAGTCGGTCACTAGAACAATCAGCATCTATCAAAATTTTATTAGGTTCTTGATCATCGTTTGGTGCATCCGACAAATTTTTCTCATTTTTGTAAGAAATTTGATCAGAAGCAGATGAGTCATTAAGATAACTCATATTTGATAAAACAACTAGAGAACTCCAATAAGTAGATTCATCAGAACTTTTTGTTCTGGAATGATGAGCTCCATCTAATGCTGCTTGATCCATTTTCTGTCTCTTCGTGGGCGATGGGATTTGAACCCACGACATGGCATGTCTCTGAAATGGACATTTCTGGACCACTGGGAGGGTCGTGAATGACTGCTACTGCTTCGCTTACATTACTGCTCGTCAAGGATTCGTAGAGGCTTTTATCGACACATTCATATGTTCCGCATTCATTTTCCAGCTCTGTATGCAAGTTAGGAATTAGTTTATCAACTTCTGTCACATCTCCAAAACACGGATGATTTAGCAGCTGTGTGCGTAAATTGTCTAAAACATCCAACTGGCTATTTTTGAAACGCTGTTGTCGCTCAAATAGCAACTGTAATTGATCAGAAGAGATAGCCATTTTCTGAATCAGCGCGGTAATGACTAATTAACAATCAATGTTGTTGAAGGACACCGGCGAGAATTTTGTATGCTGATTGCTCGAAATAATTAGACTGGATTTCGTCCAATTACAGGCTGACGTTGAAGATTGAGGGTTCAGAATTTTTTTCTACCTCGTCGCCACCTAAGATTGAAGTTAATTTTAATATCAATATTTTTAAATTATCTACTCCAATCATACGGACCTCATGCGTTACATTCAGATACAATTTTGTCAGTGATTTATGTTAACTATTCATACTGTTAATAATATATTATTTTTTTCTTTCATCCATATATTAATGGGAAACTGTCTTGACTTTTTTCTTTAATAACAAAACAGCCCACTATCCAGTCTTATAAACAGTTTATGAATGTACCTTTCACTTGTTGTTCTATCAGTGCAGATGGCAGTCTAATTTGTTGTGGTACAGAAGTTTACAGATTGAAAAAGAAACGTCGTAAACATAACTCCAGAAATATTAGTGAATACGATGAGGAAACAGCTCAATTAGTTTATTGGGACACACGAAATTTATCATCTCCGTTGGGTATTATTAAAGATTTACATTCAGATGATATTGTTGATGTAAAATTCGATCCTACTTCTGTTCCTGGTTATCTACGCCTAATTGATTGTTCTGAAGATGGCGTAATATGCTTGTATGATATGAATGCAGAGGCAATTTTACAGGATAATTCTCTTTTATATGTGAGTTTAAATTGGAAATAACTTCTCATGTTATCTTTCGAGGCTGGCAATGAAGGAGGCCATAAAGTAATTGTTATTTTATCAGGAGCAGCTCATTAGTGTGAATCCTAGTAGGCAATAATGTTTTTGGTGTAAAACTCAAAACCATCATATATATTTTTTGAAATGGTGGAGATTTGTAGCTCAGGTGGATGATTTTGATGGAGTTTTGTTCTCTGAGCTGAATAGTTTGGTCATGGAGCTTTAATCGTTCTTCTGAACGACATCAGGTAGAAGACTTCTACCTGAAGTTTGTGCTGATGATGTCGTTCAGAAGAACGATGCTTTCATCGATCAGACCATCCAGCTCAGAGAACAAAACTCCATCAATATATATATATTCTGTTTCAGGTATCCTTTTATATGTGTTTAGGGAACATTCCACTGAATTAGACGACTAATCCCTCCTAAAAATGTGCTAAACAAATTTTAAAAAAGGCATCCCAATAGGTGTAATACCACCAAGTTTCTCGGAAGTAAGTTAATTGATGGTTTTATTCACAAATCTATAAACTCAAAGAACCTACATTGATTTTTTATTCCCTATTAAATTTGTTTCTAATCAGTAAATATAATCAAGGTCACTTTGAAATAAGTTCATAATGGGATTTTTAGACTTTATCATCCACTGAAAATTGTCAATATCTGACAGTTTGAAAATTTGATCGATAGAATCGAGTCAGTACTGAGTACTAACTATACAGTGTGGCGTTAGATACCAGTAACCGATCAGATTATACTTAAGTCATTCCTACGTAGAAGGAATTGCGAGCCAATCAGCTCATTAAAGACACCTTTGACTGATGCTAACTTAGGCTTGAGTTCATAGAGAGACAATATTTCCATTGCAGTTGCATATGTATCTTGCTAATGAGTGCCAATTATTACGTCAACAACGGATTTCTACTTTGATTCTTCTTACGTCCTACAAACTTAAAATGTTTGTTGGTGTTGAGTAAGAAAATTTATGAGAAGCTATTTATGTTTCATTGTTGAATATTACTGAATTTGTTTTGGGAAATTATACGTAGACTAGTTCATAATGCTAGTTACTGGTGTGATCCTTGAAATAAAAAATAAGTCGGAATCATAAGCCAATTTGAACTACCGACTTACCGTCTACCCGTTCTTTCCTCTATCACTTAATTTACAACAAATAGCCATTAATCAAATATCATTTTGATTCAATCACTAATAGTATCAAATAACCCTTGCTAACTGTTAGCATAATCTAACCAAGACTTATTTATTCACCGTAAGATGGCATTTGATTTCGGTCTTATCATCTATCCATTGATCTCAAAAAGCCCCACTGGAAAAATAATTCAGTAGCCACGACCTATCTTATGTTAATTTAAATAAGAAAAGGTTTAGAAACTACTTTATTTTCAATGAATTACTGTCAAGTTTCTTTTAATAACTATAGCTGCAATTATCTCTACACCAGTAGACCACTGAATACCGATAAATATGATATTACAGTAGTCTTTAGTCGTGATCGAATTTTATCAACCAAGTCACTATGTTTTGACCGCTAGCCTAAGTAGCTCGATATCGCAATTCACTGTTTGATCGGAAGAACTCGATCAGTACTACGGACTAGACAAACTTAACATTGATTACTACTCTGTGACCATTCAGTAGATATACATATCCTGCTTGGAAGTAACTGGTACAAATTCCTGTATCTAGTTTCCGTGCTAGTTGTCACCTGCTTCAGCAAGATATCCATAATCCTGAGTAACTAAATGCTTACTATTGAATTTGAACCTGTACCACCCATAATCACAACCGATAGTTTTACTAATAATAATCTGTTCAAATTGCAACTGATCACTTCTTGATTATTTCATTTTCTAATTTGCGATATTAATCCATTTGATTTGTCGTTTTTTCCATCCATTCATCTGCAGATGTTCAATTCAGAATCAGTGGCTAGTTCATGTGATTGGTTAATATCATATAATGATCTATCTTCTAGTTCCGCTGCTGTTGGCGTCTATTGTACAACTACAATGCGATCAAATATTAAGGCATGGCCAATACACCCATCAATGTTACATAATAATAATATGGTTGAAGAAGAAAACTTCAAAGAAGACAAAGAATCATTCAGTTTATCTGGAAAAGATGAGGAAGAACTAACTGAGAAAACACGATTATGGAATTCTAAATTTAATACAAATAATCCTAATAGTGACGATAATGATAATAAGATTTTAAAAGGTAAAAACTTTTTCAACATGATTCTAATTCAAACTAATTCATCTGATGAATTTCTACTACTCGGTGACAGTAATACCAATGATAATAATAACAATAATCAAAATTATCCAACAGTTTTCCATTCAAATCATCAATCAGATTGGACAATGTCTTATTTGCCATCAAATATCACTATGAGGAAATCTCAACCAATTAATAGTAGTTTTAATTTACAATATGCCGATTTTATAGGTAAACTAACCGATAATCACAGTAAGGATAATACTATGAAACAATTATGCTTTATGGTTGGTTCACAATCGACTGTGCTATGCTCTTATGAAATATCATTATCAACTTGATTATTATCCCAATGATAATTCGGTATGTTTTTCCTTGATGTCGTTCTGTTGAAAACTAATGTGTACATATTCACTCTCCATTTTTATATTGGATTGTGATAAATTTATGTTGTGTTAGAGGGCAATTATTTTTGCATACTGTAAAGTCTCCCTTCTTTATCTCTCATGTAATAATATATTGCTGAATTAAAAAATATATATATTGACTTTTTGATGATAATAGTTACACAGTAAGAGTATACTATACTTGTAATAGATGAACGCTCGGGTGGGGACAACCAATGTGTTTTAATACAAAATCACAGTGTCTTGATAAAATATAAGAACTATACATCGAAAAATTCATTTGCAAACATCCATCATTTGTCATTCACATTCTGTCTGATTCTTCAACTTCAAAATTCCTTTCTATCTTCCCTTCTCTTCAACTCGATCTCCTTAGCCTTTTGCTTCCAGAATTTCCACTTCCGACTGGTGTTACCTACTACTTATGTTGATGGACTTAAATAGCATACACTACATACTGGCGAACCAACCAACTCAAGGTCGAGAAGTCTTTCTCCATGCCCCCAAATGCCCTGGTATGGCCGAGAGCGGCGTGGGTTCGCCCTCCCTCTCGAGATACCCTCACACGGCCACGCGTATACAGCCCCTGCCAGGGAAGTTCTACTCACTGCCTTCTCGTGGCATTACTGTTGTTTACGAAATCGAGAGGACGAAAAGCGAATGTCCGTCGCTCTAACCGGATCCCAAACCATTGATGCACATGGGCTCGAGTATCCTGAAGGAAAAAATGGCGTATGAACCAATGGTTGTTCACCGGCTACCACGGAATGGCATTTCCCCACGATGCTCCATTGCCTTGTGGATCAGACCTTTAGGTCAAAGGCTCTGGATGTGGCCCCCTAAGATAACCACCTGCTTCAGTTTGGGCACCCGGGCAGTATCTCAGCCCGCACACAAAAACATGATAAACTATCTACTTATGAAGGGTTTTACATAATGTATATATTACTTTAACACTTAAAACTTTATATGGTTTCTTTTTACAAGTTTCTACTACATTCCTAGATAATATTAAGTACAATTAATAGAAAGCTATTTACATCTTAACAATCAATATAACGTCGATTATATACATATCATTACCAACGTTCGACATGATAGTTTCAAATAAATTGAGCATTGAGTTATAAATAAAACGAATATATTTGTAACCAAATCAAAATATGATTTGGCTACATATTTTCTGAAGAAGTGGCTTACATCGAGTAACGAAACGTCAGAAAGTCTCATTTTTCTACTCAATGGGATATCACAAATATATTATTTTTATTTATAATGTCGATTACTTATGAGAATGAGAGTAAAGGTCATATCAAACTATATCCATTGATCAATGTCCAATGAAAATTATTAACTGTAGTTATGATTTAATCAAGTTTCGACTAGAATTACCCATAAATTAGTTTTCTAAAGTAATCATAAATACAATTATAGGAAGTAACTTCCTGCAGATGAAATTTTAAACTGTTCCACAGACTGTCAAGTACAGAGTCTTAGCCCAAATCAGAACAAATAAACTATATGGCTTGATAAACTATATGTTTCTATTAATTAGTACAGTCTATTAAACAGGAAAAAAAGAATGACATGGATAACATTACTTACTTATTCCTGTTAACCCTCGTGGTGAAGCGTAGGCCACTCACCAGGATTCTCCATTTAACTCTGTCCTGGGCAATCGTGTTCAGTTGCTATTCACCCTTTTGATGTTTGATTCCAATTCTCGACGCAGTGTGTTCTTTGGTCATTCTCTTTTTCGTTTCCCTTCAGGATTCCAGGTTAGGGCTTGCCTCGTGATGCAGTAATGATTTTCTCAACGAATATCCTACCCACCTCCAGCGTCCTTCAGCCGGCATCTGGTTTGTTCTCTGCCGTAGTAGATTGATGCTGATGGTATCCGGCCAACGGATATAAGATGTCTTGTGTGGAAAACTGTTTATGAGTATCCATATGTTTTTAATGATGGATGTAGTAGTTCTTAAATTTTCACTTCTGTACAATAGGACTGTCTTGACGTTCATATTGAAGATTCTGATTTTGGTGTACATGAAAGATTCCACCCCTTCAATAGTTTCTCCACCAAGTGTAATAGGTTTGGTGTTGTATTGTATTTGAGGATCTTGCTTTTCCCTTGTGTATGTTAAGGCCTACTGATGAAAAGGCTTCTGCCACACTGGTTGTCGTTATCTGCATTTGTTTATATGTATGGGATAGAAGGGCCAGGTCATCTACGAAGTCCAAATCGTCTAGTTGCATTCCAGATTTTCTTTCTATTCCGTGCTTCCCCTCAGAATTGGAGGTTTTCATAACCCATTCAACCACCAGGAGAAACAGAGAGAGACAAAGCAGCCTTACCTGACTCCAGTCCCCACTTGGAATGCGTTTGTCAGCTGTCCTCCGTCCGTCGTATGAATTCCGTGTGATGTTTAGCATCTCAGATACACCATAGTGTCGAAGACGTTTCCATAACGTCTTTCTATCCACACTGTCAAACACCTCATAGTCAAGGAAGTTGGTGTATAGTGACGAGTTCCATTCAATTGACTGCTCAACAATGATCCATAGTGTCACGACTTGGTCTGGGCATGACCAATCCTTACGGAATCCTGTCTGTTGATCTCGAGACTGAGCGTTTACTGAATCTTTCATCCGGTTCAGCAACGCTGTTGAAAACGTTTCCTGATACCGACAGTAGTGTGGTATCTCTGTGGTTATCACACTTGCTCAGATCTGCTTTCTTTGGTATCTTGATGAGATACCTTTCTTTCCAGTTTGTCCGCACTTGTTCTTCCTTTTAAATCTTCCTGAATGGGATGTGGAGCATGTTTGCAGTTACTTCTATGCCTGAGTTCAGTGCTTCAGCTGGTATATTGTCAGGTCCTGCTGCTTTACCATTCTTGATTTGTCTGATGATCATCCTGGTTTCGTCGATCGTCGGTGGTGTGACGTGTGTAGAAAAGTCTGTGTGTGTTGCCTTGATGTTCGGCGGATTCAATGGAGCTGATATATTGGAGAGATTTTCAGTGTTCTACCCATCTGTTCCTCTGTTCTTCAGTCTTAGTGATTGTTTCTTCGTCGTGTCATATAGTTGTTTCATATTTCCTTCCCTTGCAGCTTTCTCCTGTCGTTGCTAGCTCTTGCACATGTTTCTGCTTGTCAGTTGTAATGCTCCTCTTCGCTTGCTTGTTTGCTTCTGTGTATTCAGCTTGTGCCTTGATTGTCTCTGTTCTTGTTCGGCTGTTGTTAATTGCTGTCTTCTTGTTCTTCCTTTCTTAAATCTTGTGCAGGGTTTCAGTAGAGATCCATTCCTTATGATGATGCTTCTTGCATCCCAGCTCCTCCTGACACGTTGAAGTTAGTGCTTCTTTGATCCCTTCCCGGTTGTCCTCCATAATAGTTTCTTCTTCTTTCAGTAGATCTTGTAATGCTTGGAACCTGTTGTTGAGAGTTATTTTGAATTCCTCGAAGGATGGCTTTATTGAACCCTCGTGGTGCTGTCTGTCCGGTTGTCCAGTGCTTCTTTATCCTCTGTTTCATCTTGGCGACCACCAGGTAGTGGTCCAAAGTTGTATCAGCTTTTCTCCTGGTTCTCACGTCTTTCATTGACCTCGTGAGTTTTTCACTGATGCAAATTTGATCGATCTAATTCTGTGTAGTGTGGTCCTGTGAGACCCATGTAGCTTTATTTATGAGTTTGTGGAAGAATATTATGCTGCTTATAACCAAATTGTTGAATGCGCATAAATTTGAGATGTCGTCATATCCGGTGTTGTCCATTCCGACTCTCGAGTTTAGATCACCCATCAGGATTGTCAGGTGTTTTTCTGAAAACTCAGCTATGATCGATTGCAACCTCTCGTAGAACTGATCTTTATTGTCGTCATTAATGTCATCGGTGGGTGCATAACATTGGATAATATTCATTGTGATTCTCTCCTTGTTTATTTTGAATGATGCTTTGATGATCCTGGGTCCATGAGATTCTCATTCTATAAGTGCATTTTGTGTTTCTTTGGACAGCATCAGAGCAACTCCCTGAGTGTGTGAACAATTTTCTTTCTTGTGACGAGAGTACAGAAACATCTCTCCTGAATTTATCCTTTTCTGTTCAGCTTGGGTTCAATGGGTTCCAATGATTCCGAGCATCATCGAATTGTATCTCCTCATTTCCGCAGCTGTTTGACTTGTCTTTTCGCTTTCCCACATTGTCTGAACATTCCATGTACCTATATTAATTGGTGCTCTAGTTGTTAAAAGGAACACGTGACATTCGAAAAATCTCGACTTTCATCATTAGGCATCATAGTTCTTCCTTGAACTCGAAGAGCAGAGTTACAATTGTTTAAATTGTTTAATGTGGTTAAGGTTTTTTAGCAGTGTTGTTTTCTAAGGGATGGGGTTGCTGACCCTTTGCCCAACCCTCCTCCTTTACCCTAGCTTGGACCCAACAATAACCCTAGAAGAGCTACAGGTTACAAGGTCAAAGAGAGCTAAGTAGTGTTGTGGTGTTTATTTCTGTGACTGATAGGTTCGTTTATCGATTGCAATTTACAACTAAGCCTAGTATATATCTTGTAAAATATTTGAAACTAAAAAGAAGCAGAAAAAATGTTCAATAAATAAATTACTGATTAAATCAGTAATTCTCCTAAAATTGATGCACTTCATTGCTTGGATCATTTTTCTTTCTCTCTATGCGTTAATGAAAAATCTAATGAATCAAGTTGATTTTATAATTATTTCTTATTAATAAAAAGTAAATTACTTTTCATCTATGGATTTTTCTATCCTAAAGTTAGCGAATGCTATACAAATCAATGTAACCAAGTTCATGTGAATTATTCTTGATTTTGATCAGAAAAATATGAATATCCACATTTTTATTTACCTGACAATTGAAGTAGGTAATATTTACAAGATAGAATCTTGACTATTGGACACTGAAAACAGAATGTACTGATCGGTCCACTTTCAACCAACCACGATCACCGGACAAATTTATGTGTCAGAATATTCTAACATATATTCTGCACAAGATTTGA